TACAGGAATACCCAGATATATAAGACTTATAAAGAGACTTAGACTCCCACACAATAATAGTGGGAGACCTCGACATCAATATTAGACAGATCAATGAGACAGAAAATTAACAACGATATTGAGGATTTGAACTCCGATCCAGAACAAATAAACTTAATTAACATTTATAGAACTCTCCACTATAAATACACAAAATATACACTCTTATCAGTACCACATCACATCTATTTACAGGTTTAAATGAAATATTGGTTGGCTGCTTGTTTGTTATTTTCTTCCCTTATTTTTTTTTCATGTCTCTATTATTAAGCACAATTATAGGCATACCCATTTTTAGACTGCATTCTAGCCCGGGCAATAAAGCAACACCCCTGTTCTCTCTCCCTCTTCCTCTTTCTCTTTCTTCCTCTCCTTCATTCTTTTTATTATTATTATTCTTTTTTTTCTTTCTTTTTTTAGAAAAAATAAATAAAAAAGAAATATCATGCAACAATATTTATTAACGTAAAAAAAAAAAAGAGAGCGAGAGAGAGAGAGACAAGAGTATTGCTATGTTGCCCAGGCTGGACTCAAAACTCCGGGGCTTAAGCCATCCTTCCCTGCTCAGTCTCTTGATTAGCTGATATTACAGGCGTAAACAGCCATGCCTGGCTATCAATTCATTATTTTCCTCTTAGGTATGCTGACTTCCCACACTTCAGATCATCAGTGAAACATAAACCACAAAAACATACTAAAACCCTTACATAACTTATTTGGAAGTTATAATTGATCATCAACATGGATAAGTAAAATTTTGTAACATAACTTTATACTTTGTGTTATAATCTCAACCTAAGATCTCTTACAGAAAAATTCTTCCAAAAGTACATAATGTTCAAACATCAAGAGTTAAAATCCAAAGAGTCAGTATTCCACACAGTTGTAAAATAGGGAATAGTTTTAGGTTAGGCTAAAAGAGTTCACTAACTATTCTTGCATTATCTTTCGAGGATCAAATTTATTCCATAACTGATTCATCTTCACCACTTTTAGAGGAAAAAGTTATGTAACACAAAGTTTTAAACAACAAATGAAAGTTTTAATCCAAGTTTAGTTTTCCTACATTTCTCTGAAATTACTTAGATTCCTACCAAAAACAAAACACAATGGCTTAAATTTTTTAAGCAAATTCTAAATTTAAGTCCAAAAATAATGGCTGACAAGTTTTTAAATTCAAATCCAAAAATATCAGACCACTCCAATCATCCTCTCTAATACTTCAAACCCTAAACACAAAACCAGATCTTAGTAGTCACTGACCACATACTATGCAAGAAAGTTGTCTGGCACATAAGAATAATTCCCTCTAACCATAGGTTTCTGCCAAAATCTCTAAAATAGTATCCTATTTCTTCACTTCATTCTAAATTTGCTACAAAAATGTAGTGTTAAAGACCTTAAGGGCCCAAAAAGAGACAAGAATGGGTATAAACTTCAGATATAACGATTAAACAAAAATAATTTTAGGGTGCTTTTGGTCCGTCTCTAAAACCCACAAGGGAAATGAGCCTGGAAGCAATAGCCCCTAGGCAGGCTGCTAAATCACCTGAATAAATGTAGATGAAAGAACACCAGACCTGAGGGAAGGGCTAATTATTTTTTTATGGCATGTATTTGCCTCCTCCACTAGACTTTAAGTACACACAGTGAAGCAGGGACTTTGTTTCATTCTCTACCTGCTTTCACCCCAAACACAATGCTAGATTCTTAGGATTCAGACAAGCATAATGACACACCTCCAGGAGTGCCATTCACAGACTACAGTGTGAATGGCACTTCCTGGACTTCTATGATTTTGCAACCCAAAAAGAGCCAATAATGTTTGCCCACATGGCACTTACATTTTAGTGTAGTAGCTGCTTGACATTTACTGAATGAATGAATGTATGAACGAACAAAAGAACAAGCAAGCCTCACCATCAAAAACTAAGCTCTGGATTACCTCCAAATTTCTGTCTGGCAAGATTAGAGAACATACTTGGTGGGTATTTTAAGCACCATTCCTTTAAGGATTCCAATTTGGGTCCTAGAATACAGATATAAACTAACAATGCTAAAGATGTTTAATTTACTAATGCAAATCTTCATATATAAATATGCTATAAAATGTCTTTTCAAGAAGTTTAAAGTATGAAACTTTTTTTTTTTTTTGAGACGGAGTGTTGCTCTTGTTGCCCAGGCTAGAGTGCAATGGCGCGATCTCGGCTCACTGCAACCTCCTACTCACGGGTTCAAGGGATTCCCCTGCCTCAGCCACCCAAGTAGCTGGAATTACAGGCATGCACCACCATGCCTAGCTAATTTTGTTTTTTTTTTTTTTTTTTCTTTTTCTTAACATTCTTGGAGTATAATTTTGTATTTTTAGTAGAGACAGGGTTTTACCATGTTGGCCAGGCTGGTCTCGAGCTCCTGACCTCTGGTAATCCACCCGCCTCAGCCTCCCGAAGTGCTGGGATTATAGGTGTGAGCCACCACAATAGCCTGAAACATTTTTTTCAAATGGAAGACACTTTACTCCCCCTAGGGATAGTTTTCCAGAGCATAAAAGCAAATGTATACACTATAAATTAATATCACCAAGTAGAGGGAAAGATGGTAGCACAAGTATACCTCTAATAAAGACCACAAGGCCCAGACTTTCAGTCTGCTTACAGGGATTTTCTTTTCCCCAAAGCCAACATAAAAATATTGAGAAGCCTGGAAGTGGTGGCTCATGCTTGTAATCCCAGCACTTTCGGAGGCCGAAATGGGTGGATCACCTGAGGTCGAGAGTTCAAGACCACCCTGACATGGTGAAAGCCCATCTCTTAAAAATATATATATATACATATTGAGAAGAGCCAAGTGCAGTGGCTCATACCCATAATCCCAGCTACTCAGCAGACTGAGTCAGGAGGACTGCTTGAGGCCAGAAGTTCAAGACCAGCCTGGATAACATAGTGAGACTCCTGTCTCTAACATAAATATAAACCAGGAGCAGTGGTTCACTCCTGTAATCCCAGCACTTTAGGAAGCTGAGGCAGAAGGATTTCTTGAGCCCAGGAATTCGAGACCAGCTTGGGCAACATGGTAAAACTTTGTCTCTACAAAACAAAAAAATTAGCCAGGTGTGGTAACACGCTTGTAGTGCCAGCTACTCGGAGGCTGAGGTGGGAGAATCCATTGAACTCAGGAGGTCAAGGCTGCAGTGAGCTGTAATCACACGACTGCACTCCACCTTGGGGAACACAGCAAGATGCTGTCTCAAAAAAATATGTATATGCTACATATATGCCTACTATGTACCCACAAAAAAAATTTTAATAAAAAATAAAACAAAAAATATAAATATACACATATACAAATAATAAAATATTAATAAAAAATATTGTGGCCAGGCACAGTGGCTCATGCCTGTAATCCCAGCACTTTGGGAAGCCAAGGCAGGCACATCACAAAGTCAAGATCCAGACCATCCTGGCCAACATGGTGAAACCCCGTCAGTACTAAAAAATACAAAAATTAGCTGGGTGTGGTGACGCATGCCTGTAGTCCCAGCTACTCGGGAGGCTGAGGCAGGAGAATCGCCTGACCCCAGGAGGCGGAGGTTGTAGTGAGTCAAGATCGAGCCACTACACTCCAGCCTGAGTGACAGAGCAAGACTCCGCCTCAAAAAAAAAGGAAAAGAAATACAGATGAAACAAGATATACAAGTAGAGACGACAGACCTAGATTTTAATATTACCCCTACTATTTATTACCTATTTAGCCTTCCACAGGCCACTTAACCTCTTAGGCAACTGAATTTCCTCAGCTGTAAAATGGGGGTATCACCACTTGCCTTACAGTTACAAGGATTGAATGAGACAGCATTAAACAACATCTGGCACGTATGAGATGCTAAATAAAGCTTGGTTTACTTTTCTCATTAGGATAAAATGCAACGAGTATAGCAAAAAAGAAAGATTGTCGGCTAGGCATAGTAGTGCACACCTGTAACCCTAACACTTTGGGAGGCCAAGGGAGGATAGCTTTGAGGCCAGTAGTTCGAGACACCCGGGCATTATAGGAAGACTCCATGTCTATTTTGAAAAAATTAAAAAAAAAGATTGTCAATGTGAAAATAATTTTAAATGAGTCATACTTTCCATTCATTCATTCATTCAAAAAGTATTAATTGGCCAGGTGCAGTGGCTGTAGACCCAGGATTTTGGGAGTCTGAGTTGGGCAGACTGCTTGAGCCCAGGAGTTCAAGACTAGCCTGGGCAACATGGCAAAACCCCGTCTCTACAAAAAACACAAAAATTAGCCAACTTTGGTGTCTTGCACCAATAGGCCCAGCTACTCAGGAGATTGAGGTGGGAGGATCACTTGAGCTCAAGAGGCAAACGTTGCAGCAATTCAAGATCATGCCACTGCACTCCAGCCTGGGAGACGAAGTAAGAGCCTCTCAAAAAAAAAAAAAAAAGTATTAGGAGCCAGGTGTGGTGACTCATGCCTATAATCCCAGCACTTTGGGAGGCTGAGGCAGGTGAATTACCTGAGGTCAGGAGTTCAAGATCAGCCTGGCCAACATAGTAAAACCCTGTCTCTACTAAAAATACAAAAATTAGCCAGGTATGGTAGCATGTGTCTGTAATCTCAGCTACTCAGAAGGTTGAGGCAGGAGAATCACTTGAACTCAGGAGGTGGAGGTTGTAGTGAGCAGAGGTCACATCATTGTACTCCAGCCTGGGCAACAAGAGTGAAGCTATGTCTCCAAAAAAACAAAACGTTATTAGGCTAGGCCTGGTGGCTCACACTGTAATCCCAGCACTTTGGGAGGCCAAAGCAGGCAGATCACCTGAGGTCAGGATTTCAAGACTAGCCTGGCCAACATGGCAAAACCCTGTCTCTACTAAAAATACAAAAATTAGCCGGGTGTGGTGGCTCATGCCTATAATCCTGGCTACTTAGGAGGCAGGAGAATTGCTGGAAACTGGGAAGCAGAGGCTGCAGTGAGCTGAGATGGAGCCACTGTACTCCATCCTGGGCAACAGAGAGAGACTCCACCTCAAAAAAAAAAGAAAAAGTATTAATTAATTGGGCACTGACTGGCACACACTGTTCTAGGTGCTGAGGATACAGCTGTCAACATAATAGCCTGTCTTTAAAGAACACATAAAAAAAAAGAGTTCCACCAAAACATTCAGCGAGTAGAGGACTAGAAGTCTTACCATTCTAAGTATCTATGTCATTCATCTGGCACCTACTCTGAACCAATTTACCTTAATAACTTCTCATATGCATATTATGTGCACACTTACAGTACTGAGGGTAAAAACTGTGTTTTATTTTTCCTCTATCACAAAGTCCTATAACCATGATACTCTCAAAATGGATCAGCTCATCGATAAGCTATTCATTCATTCATTTAACAGACATTTACTGAGCATTTTCGGCATTGTGTCAGGAGCTGTATTTGGGCTCTGGGAATACAGCAGTTAGGGGGAAAATAAAATATAGTGCTTGCCTTCATGGAGCTCACGGCCTACTCTAATAGAAGAGTTTAGGAGAGAAAGACTTTAACCAAAGGCATATATCCTACCTCCAGATAAAACTACAATACTTACTGCAAATATATATATATATATATATATTTAAATTAAGTTAACACATATATGATTTCCCTCTCAACTTTGTACTTCCATATAACTTTTTATCCAAAAATTCTCAATGCTTTTTACTAATTCATTTTTCATAGAATCCCTCTCCCCTCTCCAGAGAAGAGGCATAAAAGAAGTACAAAACATTCCTATTGCAAGACCAAAAACCTAAGTATAAAGAAATCCACTCAAGCTGATTATGCACACAAATGAAACAGATAATACAAACAAATGAAACTTCATTGTGTATGTCCTAAAAGAAATGCCAAACATATCATTCAAAGTAATATGGCACTTAGATCCTTGAATTGACAGGATCACTCTGCATTCAGGTGCAAACACTGATTGGGCTTCTCAGTTCTCATAACAAGTAGTAATTCTACCACTTGTCCAGCTGGTTTCCAGAAGTTATGAGTTTATCTATAATTAGGTATTTAGGAGACATGCAATAAAACACCTACCAAAGGATGGTTTAAAAGACTACTTGCCAGGGAAAATGATTTAAGGAATTAATATGTATTCACTTCTATAGGCTTTATAAGTTTCATCCATGACCTAAACAACAGAAGTGTATATATCTGGACTACAGAAATAGCCAGTAACTGAATTTAAGCTGCATTTTCACTTGGCTACCAGAGCAATGCTATGAATTCCACCACTGCTTTGCTTCAAAATTGTGGCAGGGGACATTGTTATGTTACAATATTACCTATACTGTACTCCATGTGAATCTGCTACAGGATAAGGAAAAAAGTGCTCTGTTCTGAGGAACTTATATTTTCCCCTGCTCATCTGAGAGTTATATACCTTATGAGCTTTCCCTCTGAGACTTCTTTTACTTCTTTAACCCTCAACTTCAACCACTCTGCTTTGTTATGTTGGCAAATGCATGAGTGTTGGAAAAGGAAAAGTACAGGGTGATAAAAGAGAATACTAAAGAAGGATCTAAGGATTTTTAAAATTAAAAATAAAGTAAGCATTTTACTTCTAAAGTTACTCAAAATATTTATTTTGATCTCACAAGTAAGATCGGGACTCAAGAGTCAATGACCATCTCAAAAAGCCCAAAAACCTGTTACAAAGCCAGAAATACCAGCAAACAGATCTAACAAGGAGAAGTAGAAAAAAATAGTTGAAATATTTTTCAAAGATTGCTCTTCAGTTTTGTGAATACAGTATTAGATTGTTTACTGGGAGTGACACTTAGGTGGAGCAAATAAACACTTAATGACTGAAGGCCAGATTAACTGACCTAAAAGAGGTCAAGCTTTATGCAAGCTTGGAGAAAAAAAAAAAAAAAGCCACAGTGTACAGGAGTAATTACATCTAACTGCATAGCACTAAAAGACAACCTGACATTTTAAAAGTGTGGGCATTGTGGGTAATGATAAGGGAGGAAAAAAAATAAGAAAATTTAAAAGTGTAGGCACAAAGGCAACCTACGAAATAGGAGAAAAATCTACAAACTGCGTATCTGATAAGCAGTTAATTTCCAAAATACACAGGGTACTCCTACAACTCCAGAGGAAAAAAAATTTTTTTAATAAGCAAGGCAGGATTTTAAGGCTTCAGTGAACTACGATTGTGCCACTGCACTCCATCCTGGGCATTAGAGAAAAAAAGGTCCTAGCTAAATAGACACCACTCAGGTATATGAAAAGGTGCTCAATCATCAGGGAAATGCAAATCAAAACCACAATGAGGTGTCACCTCATACCTGTCAAGATGGCTCTTGTCAAAAAGACAAGAGACAACAAATATTGGGGAGAGGTAGAAAAAAGGGAATCCTCGTACATGTCAGTAGAAATGCAAAATGGTGCAGCCACTATGGAAAATAGTATGAAGGTACCTCAAACAAATAAAAATAGAACTCTACCATATGATCCAGCAATCCCACTTCTGGGTATTTATCCAAAGGAATTGAAATTAGGCTTTCAAGGGGACATCTACACTCTCATGTTCACAGTAGCATTATTCATAATAGCTAAGATATGGAAACAATCTAAATGTCCAACAAGAGATGAATGTAGGAAACATGGTGTACATGTGTGCATGCCCAATGGAATACTATTAAGCCGAAGAAGGGAATCTCATCACTTATAACAACACAGATGCACCTAGAGGATATTACACTAAATAATATAAGCCAGTCCCAGAAAGATAAATACCATATCATCTCACTTATATGTGGAATCTAAACTAGCAAATTCACAGAAGCAGAGAGTAGAAGGGTGATTGCCAGGGTCTTGGGGGAGGCAATAAAGTATGACTTATGCCAGATAAATAAGTTCTGGAGATCTACATAACGTAGTGTCTACGATCTAAGAATACTGTATTGCATGCTTAAAATTTCCTAAGAGGGTAGATTTTATATCAAGTGTTCTTGCCACAAAAATAATACTAATAAGACATTCATAATAAAAGGGACCGGAAAACTTTAGGAATGATGGATAGCTCTACAGTATTGATGGTTTCACAAATACATATTTAACCTCCAAACTCATAGAGTTATATACACTAAGTGCAATCTTTTACATGTCAAAAAAAAAAAAAAGGCTTTTAACACTAAAAAAAGAGAAAAAAAATTCTAATAATCTGCAGAATGTATATTTATCACTCATCCTATGCATACACTACTTGGGAAAAAGACAAAACTATAAGAAAAACGCAAACTACTATGACTTTTTAAAGCAAATAAAATGTCTCTGGACATAGTGAATGAAATAATCTAAAAACAGGGAAAAGAGGGAAAAACAGGCATCAGGTATAGTTAAGAACATGGCACAAAAGCAGAAAAAGGAGAAACTCCTCAATTATAGATGTTACAAACAGGAATACATTTCTTCCTACAAAAATAAGGGTCTGCTAAAGCAACAACATGGGTAACCCCACTTTGCATCAAGACTTTACAGACACTGGTAAATGTCTGTTACAGACCCCATAGACTAAGAGAGTGCCTTGAAGTACTCCAGAATGGATAAACCAGGAGTGCTAAATTCCTACAAAACTGGAGATGAGCTAACCAGAAATATACAACAAAGAAATATACAGCCTGCTTAATAAATATGTAGTCCATAAGCTTAATAAATTCATAATTATAATTTAGCATCTTTTAAAGGTCCAATCTCTATGTTAAGAGCAGTAAGCCTCTAAAAAATCTTTCAGAGAAAGCAATTAGATCACTCCATAATCTACTAGAGCCATAACATAAATCTTCTTAAGACTGAAAAACAAACATTTCAAAGCAAATCTTCGGTAGACCCTTATTTATGGTGCTTTAAAACATTTTAAAAGGATCTTTGAAACAAAGTTTCATTAGTACCCTTCTACAAAGAGCTCTCATATCTTTCATTCTTCTAGTAATTTAAAAGCTACCAAATGTTCATTTCCTCATTAGATTATTGATTCCTAGCCTTTTAACATCTCTATAACAGCTGCTTGACAAATTACCTCACCTTATTCCTCAGGGGGTAAGGACAGCATGATATCCATGAATTCAAAAATGGGACCACAAACTGATCAGTGATAAATGAGCTAATTGCTTCAGATGAGTTAGACACTGCTCTAATAGACCAGGCATTCATAGCATGATACAATTAAATGCTTAACTCTAAATATTTTCTTTGTCCTTAAATGTAGAGAACAGATCTTTTCTTAAATTTAGTTTTATTTTAAAATACGGGATAGCATCAGTAGGTCAAGAAGCTTGAACATGTTTGGAAAGTTTCCACAGAAAGCCTCGTCTTCAAAGTACTTATTCTCAATAGTTTGCACAACTTTCAGATTTAGGCTTCTTATTTCAACCTAAGAGATCTGTAAACCCCCAAAATAGTCCATTAAATAGGACAGTTCTAAAAATAATGTCCAAATTTTTATCAAATAAAAGCCAAAACTATTTTCAAAGATATAATAAAAATATTTCAGAGTGGTATGGTAAAATATTCCTGTTGTCTCTGCCTAGATTCATTCTGATAGTGTCAAAACAGTGTAAAACACAAAGAGAAAAAGCACACACAAACAGCGATCTTGCAGACCCCTACTGAACATAAAATATTGCTTCCCTCCCCCCCCACCCCGGTAAGAACCACAAAATGGTGTGGAATTAAAGGTACATTTTAAATGAACAGCATTTTCCAGCCGAATTACCTAGCAAGTCTACCTCCTTTAGACAGAAGCAGTATAGTCTTCTCTGAATTCAGAAACAATCTCATGGTAAAACAAAAGTGTCAATTCCTTTACAGGAATAAATATCTGTGCTTAGTAAAATTTCAAGATCTATGACCCTTTTTAATTCAATCACCAGGTTCTTCAAACGTCATTTTTGCAACTGCATGATAACGATGGCGTTCATTCACGTTTTGTAATATAGTCCCATGACAAAAATGTAGATATCTAAGAAACCACACAATTTTAGCATGATAGTACTGACTATCCGACACATTCCACTTGTTTCTTTCGACGCGCTCCTTCCGTGACCTGAAAGCTCTGGTTCCTACCAGCACCTTGGTGAGCTAGCTGGCTCGTTCCCCAGCTACAACATTATGTTTGATCTCTCCTGCCTGGAGAGGCGATAGTGTTGATTTTGTTTTTAAAGTTGATGTCAGAGCAGCTACAAACTTTTTTCAGCGTCCCTGCCTGGCTGCCAACTGGAGCTCTCTGCTCACTTCCTCACCAACTTGAACCACCCCCAAACTGAGAGTAAGCTGGAGTTAGACAGCGGCAGGAACTGACACACTTTCAAGAAGGGTTTGACACCGCAGAAAACTTTCACTTCTCCCACCCAGGGGCTCTGGTCCTTCGCTCTTGCTTCCCCGCTAGAATTCCCCTCTGGGGCAGGACAAGGACAAGGACAGCAGATCGTTCGAATGCCCCGAAAGGGACCCCCAAAGCCCTCTCCCCTGGACTCAAGAGCTGTTCTTTACACAAAAGAGCCGGGCCAGCTTGAAAAGCAAACGGGCCAGCGTCGCGGCCCTTCTCCTGGGTACCACCCTCCACCGCGCCCGCAGACCCTCTCTCCAGCCGCCCGAGCGGTCTCCACTGGAGGCTTCCTGCCCCCAACCCGTCCAGACAAAGCCCCGGCGGCCGGGCTGACACTTCCGAGCCTCCGGACTCGGGACGCCGCGCTTACCCTGGCCTCATCCAGAGCGAGGCCGGCGCCACCGCTTCCCCCGGCCTTGGCGGCGGGGCAGCTGGCAGCGCGGGTCTTGGAGGAGCGGGTCCGAGAGGAGATGAAATGGCTGCTGCCTCCGGTCGCCCCAGGCTCTGCTCCGGCCCCAGGCCCAGGCCCGGGACCAGGAGACTTGGACCCGAGAAGGCGGAGAGAGCTCTTCCGGGTGTTCACCATGGTCCAGCCAGGAGGACGGAGTCCACGCCGCGCCCGGGAGAGCCGAGCAAGGCCGGCCCGCTGGCCGGTCAGTCAGGGCCAGCGGAGCCAAGCCGGGCAGGGAGAGACAGCCGGCCCGGAGCGTGCGGAGCGCAGACGAACACAACAGAGAGCCGGGCAGAGGAAGGGAAGTCGGCGCTAGCAGGCGGCGAGCGGGAAGCGGGGGCGGTGCTACAGGCCGGCAGCACAGACACTCCGCCGGCTTCGCCCTCCTCAGCGGGAGCCGAGCGGAGCCGCCATTTCTACCCCTTTCTCTCCCGTTCTCGCTCTCGAGCTCCGTGCGTCAGGGCTCCAGCGCCGCAGGGCCAACGAGACCGCTTCCGGCCGCAGCCGCGGCGGGGCGCTGCGAGGCCAGCCAGCCCTCCCCTTCCCGGCTGCTAGCGCCTCTCCCCGCGGCCTCCTGCGGCCCCGCCTCCGGCGCGGCGTCAGCGCTTGGCAGCCAGCGAGCGACGCTCTGGGCTGTCAGCTCGATGGTTTCCCTGTCTCCGCGACCGCAAAGCCGGGGGGACCAGAAAAGCCAGACTGATCAGGACGAGTTCCGGCGTGGACTTGGACCTGAAGCCCTGCGACCAGCCAGGCCCGAATGCCCCAGACACCCTCGTCACCCCCGTGGCCTGGATGGAGCAGGGCACGGTCAGCGAAGGCGCGGGGTGGAAGGGAAGCAGCGACGAAAGTACAAGGAGTTGACTGGGAATCCCCGAGCTACCCGAGGCTGACACTTAACTAGAATCACACTTTTCATGGCTGTAAAAATGAGAATGACAGCTGTGATAAAAACTGATCTGTGCGCTGTCTGGAACGTGGTGAGCTTAGGAAGAAAACGCGGGGTTGAGGGGTGGGCGGGAGGAACACCACGCTAGAACCCTGCGTCTTTAAACAAAGCGAGGCAGGGTCGTTTCCTACCCCCTTAGCCAGATCTAAGGCGGAGTCAAAGAATGAGTTCCCTGTAGGAGACGCCTCTATCTCTGTCCCCTGCCCCCGGGCCGCTGAAGAATTAAGAATACAAAAAGCTGAACCCAAAGATACGACATTTGTAATTTAACTTTCAAAGAAAAAAAAATTAAGCCACACAATTCATATGAAAAGCTCTGCTGCAGGCCGGGTGCGGTGGCTCACGCCTGTAATGCCAGCACTTTCGGAGACCTAGGTAGGTGGATCACCTGAAGTCAGGAGTTCAAGACCAGTCTGACCAACATGGAGAAACCCCGTCTCTACTAATAATACAAAAGATAGCTGGGTATCGTGGTGGGCACCTGTAATCTCAGCTGCTCGGGAAGCTGAGGCATGAGAATCACTTGAACCCAGAAGACGGAGGTTGCAGTGAGCCGAAATCCCGCCACTGCACTCCAGCCTGGGCGACAGAGTCAGACCCTGTCTCAAAAAAAAAAAAAAGAAGAGAAAAGCTCGGCTGTCAAGGAGGAATTAGGTTCATTTAAAAAATTCATGGTACATTAGATATAGCCTACTATTTATTGTGCAGAAGTTTATTAAACTTTATTAAACTAAAAAATTGAAGACTCAAGAGAAGTCTTGAAAATGACAAAATGGCATAAAAATTAGAGTATTCTGGCCATCTAAGCTCCCAATCGTTCCAAAAAACTGTACGACACTGGGAATGAGAATAGTTTTTCTGGTTGGGAAGCAGTATGGATTCCAGAATAGATAAATCCTCTGACACAATTTGCATACGACACCCTCTCCTGGACACTTCACCTACCACCTAGAGCTGACTTCTTGTTTTGTTTTTTTGTTTGTTTGTTTTACTTTTTTTTTTATATTTTTTCTTTTTTTTTTTTTTTTTTTAGAGCTGACTTCTTAACGGATGTGGATTTCTCATACTGGAACCATACCTGGATTTTCCTGGATCAGGTAGCTATCAGGTCATTGTGCAGAATAAACCAGTATCAATTCCTGAGAAAAGAGGCTGGTTTAGGCCAGGTGCTGTAGTTCACACCTGTATTCTCAGCACTTAGAGGCCAAGGCAGAACAATGGCTTGAGACCAGGAGTTGGAGACCACCCTGGGCAACACAGTGAGATGCTCTCTCTACCAAAAACAGAGAGAGAGAAACAGGACCTCGCTCTGTCACCCAGGCTGGAGTGCAGCAGCACAACCATAGCTCACTGTAGCCTCTACCTCCCAGGCTCAAGCAATCCCCCTGCCTCAGCCTCCGAACTAGCTGGGACTACAGGCACCTGCCACCACCACCGCCCAGGCTAATTATTTTGTTTTTTGTAGAGACAAGGTCCCCCTATGTTGCCCAGGCTGCTCTCTAACTCCTGGACTCAAGTGATCCACCCACCTCAGCCTCCCAAAGTGCTGGGATTAGAGGTGTGAGTCACCGGGCCGGACGCGGTGGCTCAAGCCTGTAATCCCAGCACTTTGGGAGGCCGAGGCGGGTGGATCACGAGGTCAAGAGATCGAGACCATCCTGGTCAACATGGTGAAACCCCGTCTCTACTAAAAATACAAAAAATTAGCTGGGCATGGTGGCGCGTGCCTGTAATCCCAGCGACTCAGGAGGCTGGGGCAGGAGAATTGCCTGAACCCAGGAGGCGGAGGTTGCGGTGAGCCGAGATCGCGCCATTGCACTCCAGCCTGGGTAACGAGTGAAACTCCGTCTCAAAAAAAAAAAAAAAAAAAAAAGAGGTGTGAGTCACCAGGCCAGCCAAAAAAATTGTGTTAATTAGCTGGGTGTGGTGCCTGTGGCCCCAGCCACTCCTGAGACTGAGGCACCATCAATCTCTTGAGCCCAGAATGTCCAGATTGCAATGAGCCAAATTCATGCCACTGTACCCTAGCCTGGATGACAGAGTAACACCCTGTCTCAAAAAAGATTTTTTAAAAAAGGCTAGTGTCCTGCAGAGGTGTGTGGTATGCAAACTATATACAAAGGATTTGTGTGCTTTCCTCCTTTCTTTTTTTTTTTTCTCTGTGTTTGTTTTTGTAGTCCTAAATTGGGAAGACCAGGTTACCATAACCTATGTCATTTACTATCAACAAATGTTACCTCTAAAACTTATTCCTTGAGAATTCATAACAACACACTGATCAAGAGGTTTACAGCCTGAATTTACCAAGGCTGATAGGTATGAAGACCCTCAGGACAATAATTTAGGTTAAATAGACTTGAGTCAAAAGTGATCTTAAGCAAGCAGAAGCAAACATCAATCATCTCTGACAGAATATACCTCCAATAGAAGGCACAAAAATAAAGTCCAATCAATATGATTCATAGTAAAAATAGAAAATCACAAAACACAAAAGAATCATCATGACAGCCAGCAAAAAAATTGGCAACAGAATGAGACCCACAGATTTATATTCAGATAAGTAACATAAATAAAGAAGATAGAAGGAATTATACCTAGGGCTACTGAACACTAGACATAATTATTAATATAAAATAAGTTATTGTTATAAGTTATAAATAATATACAATAACTTAGGTATTCATATACAATAACTTAATATATATTTCTTTTTTTCTTTTTCTTTTTTTTGTTTTTTTTTGAGATGTAGTTTTGCTCTTGGCCAGGCTGGAGTGCAATAGCACGATCTTGGCTCACTGCAGCCTCCGCCTGCAAGGTTCAAGTGATTCTCCTGCCTCAGCCTCCTGAGTAGTTAAGATTACAGGCGTGTAACCACCCCTGGCTAATTTTTTGTATTTTAATAGAGACAGAGTTTCTCCATGTTGGTCAGGCTGGTCTCAAACTCCTGATCTCAGGTGATCCACCCACCTCAGCCTCCCAAAGTGCTGGGATTACAGGCATGAGCCACCGCTCCTGTCCTGTATATTTCAAAATAACTAAAATAGTGAGTTTGTAATATTCCTTGAGCCCAGGAGTTCAAGACCGGTCTGGGCAACATAGTGAAACCCCGACTCTACAAAAACTTTTTTTAAAATTAGCCAGGCATGGTGGCATGCTTCTATATTCCTAGCTACTCAGGAGGCTGAGGTAGGAGGATCATGACCCCAAGAGGCAGAGGCTGCAGTGAGCCATGTTAGTGCCACTACAGTCTAGCCTGGGTAACAGAGTGAAAACCTTTCTCAAAAAAATTTACAACTGTTATATAGCCATAATAATTTAAAATTAAATAAATAAAGAAGATATTAGAACTAATGAGCAAAAAATGACAAAACAAATTTTAAAAGAGTGAAATAGATCTTATAAAAAAGAGGGCTGGGTGTGGTGGCTCACACCTGTAATCCCAGCACTTTGGGAGGCCGAGGCGGGTGGATCATGAGGTCGAAAGATCAAGACCATCCTGGTCAACATGGTGAAACCCCCATCTCTACTAAAAATACAAAAATTAGCTGGGCATGTTGGCGGATGCCTGTAGTCCCAGCTATTCGGGAGACTGAGGCAGGAGACCCACTTGAACCCCAGGAGATGGAGGTTGCAGTGAGCCAAGATCGCACCACTGCACTCCAGCCTGGTGACAGAGTGAGACTCCATCTCCATCTCAAAAAAAGAAAAAGAATAGGCCAGGCACAGTGGTTCATGCTTGTAATCCCAACACTTTGGGAGGCCAAGGCAGGTGGATCACCTGAGGTCGGAGTTTGAGACCAGCCTGACCAACACAGAGAAACCCCATCTTTACTAAAAATACAAAATTAGCCAGACATGGTGGCTCATGCCTGTAATCCCAGCCATTCAGAAGACTGAGGCAGGAGAATTGCTTGAACCCAGACGCAGAGGTTGTGGTGAGTCAAGATCGCACCATTGCACTC